GGCTGGACGCGCGGCGGGCGGCTCGGCCCGGTCCGGCCCGGCCCGGCTGGGGAGTCGCGCGCGCGAGGGCGGGTCTGGCCGCGTTCAGGGTCGGCGCCGGGCCCCACTCGCCGCCTCCGTCGCGGCCACTCGCGGCTGCGGGATCAACCGCCGCCTCATCCCGTCCCCGCTCTTGTTTATGCTCCGGAGCCGGGGCACCCTGCGCGCTTGCGCGGTCCCGCCCCCGCGGCGCACGGCCTCTCACGGCGCAGGCGTGCGGCGGAGGTCCCGCCTCTCCACTTCCGGCCTGGACTGGGGTTCCGGTCGGACACGCACGCGTGGGGACGCTTGGGGGCGCGCCGGGCCTGCCTGGGGGCGCGTCGAAGGCCGCGCATGCGCATGGAAAGGAAAGGAGCGGGTGGAAATCCGCTCTATGCGTGCCCCAAATCGTCTTAATACGGAAAGGGCTCTCTATGTCCCGATCTTTGTGCAAAATATTTACCTTATTTGATGTTTACTGCAGCCCTATGTAGAGACTACTATGTCCCCATTTTACGGATGTGAAAACTGAGGCTAGGAAATCCTAATCTATTTTGCTGAAGTGCTAGATCTGAGACTGGACAGTCCCGTGTTTCTACAAGGCCCGTGCTTTCTGGGTCCCAGAGACAGGATTCCACCTTCAAGGTATTCATTCATTCAACAATTTTGGGGAAACACCTTCCATGGGAACGAAACAGGCCTCCTTTCCCTCAGAGAGGCTACAGCAGGGGAAATATTTAATTACAAGCTCAGGGGTACAACGCACGCACCTATTGAGGTCGCTAACCTGGTCTAAAGGGACAGGGACTGTGTCGTCAGAGAAAGCTTCCTGGAGGAGGTGAGACCTCAAGTTTGAGTAAAGAGCTTAAGGAAATGGAAGCCTTCTCGATGGCACAGGTCCGAGGATAAAGAGTCACAGGGAAGACACAAGTCAAGATTGGGCTGGAGACACGAAAGGCGGCCGGGTCAAGGTGGGGATCAAGGTACGCGCAGCAAGAAACTGATCAGGACTCACGAGAGCGATGGGCTACCCTTGAAGATAGGCAGGGAAATGCCTGCTTGGGGCAGTTAATTTGAGCCACGGTGTCAGGAATGCATTACAAATTGTCGAGGAAAGGCTTGTCTTTTCAATAAAAGAAATAGATTCTCCTACCTCACACCACATTCAGTAATTAATTTGAGATGAATCGTAGTCCGACATGTGAAAGGTGAGAACTCTAAAGTTTCTGGAAGGAAACGTAAGAGAATGCCTTGATGATTTGGGGTATGCAAAGTCTTCTAAACAAGTATTTAAAAAAATACAATCCACAAAGTAAAGATGGGTCTTCATCAAAATTAAGAACATCTGTTCATCAAGAGGCCATTACGAGCGGTTGAAAAAGCAGGCCTCCGAATGAGGTGCCTATATTTGCAACACATATTTTTGACAAAGAACTTATACTCCGTATTTTAAGGACTTCTACACATCTATAAGAAAAATATAGACAACTCACTAATTTTAAAGGGCAAAATACGTGAACACAGACTCTTCACAAAAGAGGGTATCAAGATGGCTAATAAGCACCTGAAAAGGTGGTCATCATTAATACTCTTTAAGGAAATGAAAACAAAAAGCAAATGAGATAGTACTGAGCATCCACCAGATTGGCTAAAATCAAAACCACTGACAATCCCAAGTGTGGACAATGATGCAAGGTGATTGGAACTCTCAAACACTGTGGATAGAAGTGTAAATTGTTTCAACCACTTTGGAAAACTGTTTGACACCATCTACTAAAGTTAAACATATATGTACTCTATGACTCAACCATTTCACTTCCAGGTATATACTTAATAGAAATTAGTGCATATTCTGCATATTCTCACCAAAAGATGTATAGGAATGTTAATAGCTGCTTTATTCACAATAAACCCAAGCTGGAAACAACCAAAATGTCTCTCTACAATAGAATAATAAGTAACCTGTGGTATATTTATGCAAAAGAACGTTACACAGCAATGGAAAGAACATGTACAATAAGGATGAATCTTGCAGACACGAAAGAGTATATGCTGTATGAATCTGTTTACAGGAAGTTCACAAACAGGAAGAGGAATGGGTACCTCTGGTGGGGGATTGGCGAGGAGAGGGCACAGGGAGCCAGCTGGCACGCTGAGACTGCTCTATGGCTTGATCTCAGTGGTTGGTTCTATGGGCATATACATACATTAGTGCCCATGGAACCAACCACTGAAGTCAAGAGATTGGTGGTAGCCAGGCGTGGTGGCTCACGCCTGTAATCCCAGCACCTTGGGAGGTGGAAGCAAGAGGATTGCTTGAGCCCAGAGGTTCGAGACCAGCCTGGACAACTTGGTGGGACCTTGTCTCTATAGTACATCAAAAAATTAGCCTGGTGTGGGTGGTGTATGCTTGTGGTTCCGGCTACCTGGGAGGC